ATTTGATCAGATATAACTGCAGTACAAGATTATGAGATGCATTATTTGAATGCTTGGCCAAAGAGGTGTGTCTTTAAAGTGGAAGGAGGCAGACCCTCTCGTTCTCTCTCTGCCAGCCAGTTTTCTCCACAGCCACATCACCACTACTTTTTCTTAGTTTGTAATTTTAGTTTGGAGTGGGGAGTCCCAACTTGTTTCTGTTAGTTTAGTTATTCCTTCCTTTGTTGCTGGGCTCCCCATCTCTTATTTTTGGTTACTTTTGTGAGTAATTTGTGTTAAAATAAAGAATTTATTTGGAATACGCCAGCCGTTGTCCATCTATTATGTTATGTGTCCCTTCTGACTCCTAGACCCTTATACACGGACCGTAACAGTATTATTTTATTTTATTTGACTATTTTTAACATCAAAATCTTTCCACATGCACCTGTTTGGAAATCACCAATCTCCAATAGATTATAATAACATTAAAGGTATACGTCCACCTAAAAATGACTACTCCGTTTCATTTACTCCACAGAAGAAAGAATGAGACAAGATAAAAACAACATGAGAGTGAGTGAATTTTTATTTTTGAATTAACTTTCCCTTTAAAATTGACCTACAAATACATATGTCATGTTTTTCCTTATTGTATTTAGTTAACAGTCAAATACAAAGCATTGCTTAACAGAGAATCTGAGAAAGAACTACCACTAATAAATAGGCCTATTATAATAATAAATATCATATAAGCATACATTGTGCCTGATCTTTGACCATATGTTGCACTGAAAAACAACTTCCTTCATGTCATGGCGTGTGAAAACATCCAAAATTTCATGATCCATAGTGTTTGTTAATCATTTTTATCATTTGAAAATGTTATTCAAACGTGTTTTTCACATGTTACAAGTGTGCATACAATGAAACCCAAATGTTTTGTCAGCCAAACTATGTTCTCCCTTCTCCTCCTGAGATTAATATCTTCTGATATTAAAGTTAATATTTCAATAATTTAACACTTCCATGTTGGTAGTTCTTTGGTGTGTTTTATTTTGACTGTTTACATCAAAATGATACTCAAAAATTCTACGAGTATATACATATTACATTCATTAAAAGTTACTATGACATGTACAGAAGTAATTGCTTTATGAATATAACTCAAATTGAAAAGACAAGGGAAGTTGTGTGAAATTATGTGTATGCGGAACGAAGCAATTGCAAAATTAAGTGAATGTCTTATTGTGATTATTAAATGTCTGAATTTAATTATTAAAACAGGGCCTTAGCACTCAATGAAAACAGCCTCCATGTATGTCCACTTCAATGTCCAGTTCCACAATGATCAGCTACCAGTGACTTCAGCTCTCACATCCAATCTGAAACAGACAGTTACTTTACATGATGATGAATATACGTGGAAACATCACATAAGCAAATCAAAGCCATTGCCATCATGACATATGATGATCTTGACATATGCATGATTTCTTATCCCAATTTAAAAATATTCTTGGAGTAGCTGCTGACATATGTCCAAGAAGACTATGCCATCAGAACAATGCTTTAAGGTTTATGCACTGTATTATATAAATAATTACAAATTATAATTATTAAAATATTAATTTTAACTACAAGAAAAAATTTTCTCAGCTGCGTAGGTAAAAGAAACACTGACTATATATAAAATAAACAAGAGTTTATGAATGACACAGGATACTCACACCAGGCTAGCTTATATATTTTATTAGGCCACATCTATATTTGTATAGGTTTTCAGGCATTGTTGTAAACACACTGCAGTAGGCTAGGTACAACTAGGTATATATATATATATATATATGTATATGTATATATATATATATATATATACATATATATATACATATGTTTATGTATGTATGTATGTATGTATGTATGTATATATGTATAAATATACACACACACAGTACACACACATATATTATGTAAACAAAAACTTTAAAACTATATATATATTAGACTAGGTTAGCATAGTTTACCTGCTTGTTTGTTTTGCTGTGTGTTTGTAATCAATCAGGCAAAACCGCTTATAGACGATTTTTCATATTACACAAATGCATTGTTTTGGCACTGTTGTAGTTAATGCTTTAATACCTAACATTGAAAGTTCATTACCTTTTCGAAATAATCCATTAAACAAGTAGTGGTTTGAGGAGCGTGCACTAATATTTTCAGTTCCATTTGCTTGCGCGTTGTCTCAAGACACCCCCACAACTCCGCTCACTGGAACCAAAGAGTATGGAACAGCATCGACGTCATCTTTATGCGACACGAAGTAGGACCTTTGCGCATATGAATTGATTTTGTGCTACTGTCGAACATACAACAAAGGTTCAACACTTTAGATTTTTGTGTCGCCGTGTCCTATCTGTGTTTGTTTAAGTAAAACTTTTTCGAAGTCGTTATTAATGGTCGTTATTTAGTCGTGTCCATGGTAGTGTAAAGCGATTATTTTTAAGTTAATTTAGAAAGCTACAAGTTAAAGGTCAGTTAAGAATCTGTAGTCGTTAGTTCTTTAGCTCGACATAATTGGTTCTGTACAGATAATGGTCTTACAGATATCTTATGACTTTTAACCAACAGCCATAGTAATATGATTGACACGGAGAAGATTTCCTCAGGAGGGGATGCCGCCTGTTCAAACCAGAGTGAGAAGAAAGAGAACGAAAAAAAAAAGAGATCTCGGGTGAAACAGCTGCTGGCTGAAGTGAAGAAGCAGGTGGAATTCTGGTTTGGTGATGTGAATCTTCACAAGGACAGATTCATGAAGAATGTCATCGAACAGTCACGAGATGGATGTATATATCAGTGTTATGTTCATATCTCATGATGCACATTAATACATATATGATGCACTTAACTTTTTTGTTGTTTCATTGCAGATGTTGACATATCCGTGCTAACGTCATTCAACCGAATGAAAAAATTGACGACAGATGTCAAGTTGATAGCCAGGGCTCTTAAAAATTCAGCAATAGTGGAGGTATGGTTTGCATGATTTTAATTTTATTTTCCTTTTTCAGAGAGGGTTTAGTTCTAATTTATGCACTGATAATAATGTTAACTGTTATGTTGTCTTAAGGTAAATCTTCAGGGAACACATGTACGACGAAAGGATCCACTTGGTGAAAGCCCAAAAGATGTGGACAACCGCACAGTTTATGTGGTAATTGAATCCGCATTAATTTCACATTATTTTAAATTTTATGTTGTCTGTATGATTTTAATGTATACCCTCTTAAATTTGTTGTGTTTCAGGAGTTGTTGCCAAAGTCAGTGACTCATGTTTGGCTTGAGCGAGTGTTTAGCAAGTGTGGAAATGTGGTTTATGTTAGTATCCCTAGGTACAAGTCCACAGGACACCCTAAAGGGTTTGCGTTTGTGGAATTTGAGACAGAGGAACAAGCACAGAAAGCTATTGAGGTAACTTGTATGCTCTATAATTGTACTATATTGTTAGTATTCCAAAATCATAGGAATATTGTAGGCCTAATAGCCTACAAAATAATATGACTTTAATACTCACCAAGTGGGAAATATGGTTTTGGGCATACTCACAGGATCCTATAAACACTTATTGTTGGGATTAGTATAGAAACAGAATAAGGTGTAATAATACAGTATACAGTAACACAATACAGTCCAATTGCAAGTTGGAGTAAAATGTACTCTAAAGCATGGTGTGTTTTACTTGAAATGACAGATGCTGAACAATCCTCCAGAAGATGCTCCAAAGAAGCCAGGCATTTTCCCTAAGACTTGTAAGAAAAAGACTATCCATTTTGAGGCTATCCAGGACACACAAGGTAACATATTTATACATACTGTGAAAAGGCTGCTTGTATATATTACAGTATAAAATTTAAAAAGAAGATTTGTGTTGCCAGTTTGTGTTTTTCACATCACATTCTGAATGATCCAGATATAAGCAACTCATGTTTTTACTTTAAGGTTATGAGGAGGATGGCAAAAAAAAGAAGAAAAAAAGGTCTAGAAATGATCTCAAAAACAGTGCTTGTGAAGAAATGACTGTAAATGAGATGGACAGAGAAGGAATGTTAGGGACTGCAGTTACCAATGAGCCAAAGAAACAATCATCAGATGAATCTAAAATGGAAAACCCTGCAATACTGATCAGCAGCGCAAGCAAGAACGTTGAGAAGAAAAGACGAAGATCTCTCAGTTCTGAGGCATTAGTTGGAGAAGCCCAAGATGAGATGCCATCCAAAATAAGAAAAGTAGAAGAGGAGGAATACGATGAGAATGAGATGAAAGGTAGATTTTTATATTTTTTTAAAGGTTGTTTTGGTTTTTCTGGGAGAAATTTAAGGTGGGCAGCGCGCCGACATACAGCGCTGTTGCGCTACGGGCGCCCCCAGTTCGAATCCCGACTCGAGGACCTTTCCCAATCCCGTCCCCCAATCTCTCTCCCACTTCGCTTCCTGTCAATTCTGATCTGACTTATCGTAATAAAGGCGAAAATGCCAAGAGTAAATCTTAAAAAAAAAAAATAATAATAATTTTAAGGTGCACTCAGTGCTTATTTTTGTCATTTAAAATATATACATATGCATAAAAGTGCTTCTGGAAAAGTCCAGTCATATTAGTAATTTTATTTTAAATGGAGTGAGTCACCTTATGGGGGCTGCCATGGTGATATTGCATAACCCGATAAACTACGAGTTGCTTTATCCCAACGTTGCTCCTCTTATTGGACACTTTTGCTCATGAAATATATTAATCACATCTAACTAGTGCCAAAGCTGCCAAAACAATAAAGAAATATACAAAGAAATGATAAATCAATCCACAAAGAAATGTTAAAGTAAATAAGTATTTTTAGTTTTATTTTCTTTACGTATAATTGTATTTTTTCAATTTTTTCCCTTTATTTATTTCTACATAATATTTATTAATTAATTTATTTCAACATTTATTTGTTTGGGGTTACTTCAGACGGAGCAATCGAGCTCTGAGTTCTGACTTAAAGGGATAGTTCACCCAAAAAATATAATTACCCCATGATTTAGACCACATCCACACGAAGCCAGAGCTTTCCCTATCCAATCTTTTTTTTTTTTCCTTGTCTCAAGAAATATCTGCGTTAGGGCTGCACGATATATCATTTCAGCATCGATATCGCGATGTGCACACCCGCGATAGTGACATCGCAGGATGTGCAATTTTTAGTATACTGATCGTTTTCATCGACAGCTGTCGCCCCGCGCTGCCTACACAAAGCGACCGTTGCAAATCCTTTAGAATTTGTGTTCAGTACATCATAAAAAGAATGAGGGATTTACTCTCGGGGATTTGCCGTGTCACGCCGCATCCAGTGTAAACAGTAGGGTTGTGCCGATAGACGATAGTATCGTGTATCGACGATAGTCAGAGATATCGCCTGTGGCTGATGCTTTTGATGATAGCAAGATGATTAATATTATTATTATTATTATTATCAGGCTAATAATACTCTCTAATTAATATTAGGGCTTATTTGTTGCATTGTATTTCTTTTTCCGTGTTGTACAGTATTGCGTGTTATAATCACACACAGTTAGGCTGAGTTTATGAATGCATTGGCCAATCAGAGGTGTTCAGATGACTCACCGCTGAAACAGCGGAGTTCCGTTGTTCAGCGCGTGCTGACTGAATTTTGACTCGCGAATTCTTTCATCATAAACAAAGTGCAGAAGTAAGTGGGAGTGTTTTTAAAGTGCATATACTCACGCTATACTGAGCTTGTGATGATGCTCTTTGGTAATGTAATGTTCTTTGCTTGTTTTCTGTAGCTGCGTTTTGAATAACTGAGGAAATGTAAGCATTATAATTAGTAACTTACGATGTTTCTAATAATTTTTTTTTCATGTTAAATACAAATTCAGTCATATTAAAAACATTAGGCTGCTTTTAGCCTTACACTGGAGTTGGTTCACTTTCCGGCAATGAAACTAGGTAAATAAATAATTAAATAAATTATCACGATAATATCATGTATCGGCGATCTCACAGGCTGACGATATGAAAATTGAGCATATCGCCCAACATTAGTAAACAGCATCACTGATTATTAGGGTTGGGAATCGATTCCGATTCCAGAATCGGATACTTAAGGTCAGGAATCGGATACTTATTGTCAAATTAAAATTTCGATTCCGCCTATCGATTCCTATGCGCTTTTTTTTTCTTTCTTCATCTGTGAGGACCGGACCTAGCGATCTGCCAGGACCTTGCTCGCTAATCTAAGCACTCCAAAGTTTGGTTACATTTGCGATCAGAAGCCAAAAAATCTAAGTATAATCTCTGTGATAGCTAAACATGTTGCAAGAGAGGTGTCACCACCAACATGACAAAGCACTTTAATTTAATAGATCATTAAAAATCGCGAACACGATTCAAACACCAACGTGATTCTATTCCTAAATTACAGTGATTCGTCTGATTCATTCCTCAACCTTTGACGTGTGCGATCAATGTTGTGATCACTTGGTTCGTCCGTGCAGCGTACGATCACACCAGTGTGATTTGAACATTTAAATCTGCGTTCGCACTGCTGTTGACCTAAAGAGAGCAGCTGTCATCTTTCATGAATGAAACAGCTTCACCATGAATGTATGAATTTAATTGCACTCATGCCACCTCTGAGCCTCGTTAAACATCTGAAAATGTACCTACAATACACTTTTGTGTTCTGTGCTACCTCTGTAGTACAAATAAATTTTTTATTAATACTAATTTCATATGATTAATAACTTATTTGTCTTATTCTACTTCTTATTATATTGTTTTAAATAGAAATGTTAAAAAGCTAATAAACATACATTTTTGAATTTGACATAGATGAAAATGATGCCATTACAAAGGTAAAAAGAAAATACCCCTGTTCATGAATGAAACAGCTTCACAGTCTTTTCAGCCACACAGTATCATTATTTGTTACAAACATTCAAATCACAGAAGTACTGGGATAAAAGTTTATAGTTCAGATATAAACTGTGTACGATGTGTATGGTAGCGATTAAAATAGAGTAAATCACCTTTTTAAAGTAATTTGACACTTCAAGTGAAGTTTTGTCGATTACATTGTTACGCCAGTAGGTGGCAAAAAGGGGCTGTTAAAATGTATTTGTCTTTGAATCATACAAGAGATCTGTTCAAGAATGCTGATTCATCCAGTAATGAAACAAGTACATCTTGAGTAAGTCATTTAATCATTAATTCATAAATTGCATGTGATTTTGTTTAGTTGTCTAATGTTTTTCTTCAGAATCATGAGAGAACCACAACTTCCACTGGGGGAAAAAAAAAACAACAACTCAATTTATCCAGAATCATGCAGTTCTATTTTGTACACAAACAGCTCTTAAAGAGTCCAGTTTTTATTTAGCCTGTTGATTTTTGTTCATGGTTTTCAGCTCCAATAAATGGTTTGCAAAAAAGAGACACGGGATAAATGTTTGATAACATTATTTAATCACATTCGAATCAAAACTGGGAATCGACAAGAATCAGAATTGATAAGCAGAATCTAAATCGGAATCGGAATTGCTAAAATTCAAACGATATCCAACCCTACTGATTATAATGGGTTCTATTGTATTTTGTCGCCACTCACGTCCGGTGTAGACATGGTCAGAACCACCCAGATGGACGTGAGCACTGAATTCCGTTCACTTCCGCGTCTATTTGTGCCTGAAATGACACATGCGCGAAACTGTCAAAATGTATGTCTCTGCAAGTATCCTTGTAAACACAGTTGCTTATGGCTTAGGTGAAGGTAAACAATTGATAAAGAAAATGGATAGTATATTGTTTCACAGCAGTTTAATGTTCCTAAGGCTTTCTGTGTCATGAATGTTAATCAAACAACAAAACACAAAGAAAAATCACTTTTGTAGCTTTAACACAAATTTATTAGATTTCATTTATACAGTGAAGACTATGCAGTGTTATTTTACAATTGATTATTCAACCCTGTATACCTGAATACAGGGATTAAAGTTCTCCGTCGCTACAACGGATTTCCGTTAATTGCAGCGAGTCTACGACGGATTTCCGTCAATTGGAAAAAAATGAGGGGAAAAGAAACATGTAGCACATTGTTGTTGTTGTTCTGCCGGGGTCCGGCACACCAAAAATCATCCCCGCCATGGCTGTAGCTTCTCAGTGACAACATAGTGATGCCGCTCGCATCATTCACAGTCGGGTTATTAGCAGAGAACACAGAGCAGAACTTTTAATAGTTATTAAGGGAGTTTGCAAATGTGATATTGATTACAACCGTTCAATAAACAAGTACTGCCTGATTTTGCTCTATTTCTTCAACGAAAATAGTTCCAAATATAGTAACAGCTCAGCCGCTGCGCATCTCTAAAAGCAAACACAGCGGTGTTTAATTCATTCAATGAAAGTGCATTTTCGAACAAATCTAGTGAGTCAGTGATTCATGATTCCCCATTCATAAAGACAGTCACTTGCTTCATTCCTGAATGAATCAGCTGTTCGAACGAATCAATTGAATGAATGATTCAGTGATAAAATTAGTGACTTGTTTCATTTTTAGCATCTAATTTCAGTTATTTAAATCATTTCATATTTCTGCATTCAAAATTGTATATTTAAAACATTAATCTCCACATGAATGTATGAATTTAATTGCACTCATGCCACCTCTGAGCCTCGTTAAAAACGGATGTGTAACAGTATATTGGTTCACATCAGTTTAATGTTCCTGTTGCTTTCTGTGTCATGAATGTTAATCAAACAACAAAACACAAAGAAAAATCACTTTTGTAGCTTTAACACAAATTTATTAGATTTCATTTATACAGTGAAGACTATGCAGTGTTATTTTACAATTGATTATTCAACCCTGTATACCTGAATACAGGGATTAAAGTTCTCCGTCGCTACAACGGATTTCCGTTAATTGCAGCGAGTCTACGACGGATTTCCGTCAATTGGAAAAAATGAGGGGAAAAGAAACATGTAGCACATTGTTGTTGTTCTGTTATTTGTTCTTATTTTATTATTTACTATTTACTTGTCTTTTTTAGTTAAAATAAATTCAATTCTGAGTGCATGTGATTCTTGGGTGGGGAGGGGGCGTGGTCCATGAGAAATAGTCCTGCCACCACAGCTGGAAAAAATCCTAGAGGAAACACTGCATACATTTAATAAAATTAGAAAAATGCCATTACAAAGGTAAAAAGAAAATGCCCCTGCAAATCACTTTGAGTCAAATGTCACCTCATATTAGGAAGGCTCATTTTTGA